TCTCCACCTCCCATCCCCTGACAACGCTGGCTCTACCTCCTCAGGGCAACATTAGGGTGACACGGAGCTGGCCCACGGGGTGAAGGCCAAGGCAGATGGGCCGTCGGGGGGCACATCCGCGGGGAAAGTGTAGCCCCCCCCCCCCCGTGTTCTAGCGCATGGCGCCCACACCTGCTCTCGGTCCTATGGCCAGGGCGACGCTAGGACACCACCACGGTCCCGTTTCTCATCTGTCACTGCTGGACCCACGGTGCACCTCACTGTTGTCCAGAACGGTGGGAAATGGCACACCTGGTGCCTCTTAGATTTCCCGCGCAGGTGGTTAAAGTCAAAATGCTCCGCGTCCTCGGGAACAGCACCTTCCTCCGAGCCAGCGGGGGAGCGCGTGGTCCCCGGGGCTGCACGCGTGTGTGCACGTCCCACCAAGCCCCCGGGCGTGTCTCGGAGAAACGGCGGGAAGGACGGCGCTTGCCAACCACCTGGCAGGTCCAGGCAAACCGTGGGCCCCGCTGGCATAGCCGCCCCGCCAGCAAGCGGTGCTGAGGGCACAGCCATTGGATGCAAAGCCGCTCGTCTGAACACGAGCCCATGGCAGTGGGGCCTCCCCCCCTTTCCCGGTGACCCGCTGCAGCCCGAGAATCCTGCCTTTGCTTGGACAAGGATCTAAACGCAAAGATGAGGGGCTCCGGGGTGGCTCTGGGGTACAGCCTCTGAGTCTTGATTTCACTCAGGGCATGATCTCAGGGTTGTGGGATCGAGCCCCGTGTGGGGCTCCACGCTCTGCTGGAAATTCTCTCTCCCCCTCTCTGTGCCCCTCTTCCCGTGCGTGCGTGCTCTCTCTCTCTCTCTGAAACATATAAATAATTCTTAATAAAATAAAATAAATAAAATGGAAAGGTGATCTCTGACTTCTGAGCCTTCAACACGTGAGCGTTTGCTGCGCAATGACGGTCACAGTCACTCGACACCGGAGCACCTGCTCACGGCAGGGATAGCAGTGGGAGTGGGGAGTGAGCCTGACACAGCGCCCAGCATCCGTGAGGCCTGGTGCTTCACTGGCCTCAGACTTCCCTGAGGACTGGGAGCAGCCACCGGGCGGCTCAGGTCTGTCAGTCCATTGGCCTGCGAGCACCTGCCTGCAGAAAGCCGGGGTCTGGTGAGGACCCACCAGGGGAGCCAGCAGCTGGGTGATGGGCACCAGGGCAGTGGGGCTCCTGAGCCCGTCCCGAGCCAGCGCCTTTCTTGCCGCTCCGGCGGGCTTCACCCTTCTAAGGCAGGGGTGGGGTCCTCCTATGCTGAGGTCACCAGCATCAGGCCACGCTGCCTCTGCCCTGGGAGGCCAGGACGACGCCCACAGCTGCTGGGCGCCAAGGCCAGCGGCTCCACGGGCAATGTGACTTGAGTTTCAGGTTCTGGGCACGGTGGGGACTCTGGGGGTCCTGCCGGCCGTGAAGGCAGCACAGTGGCTCACCGGCTCACCGTTTCTCCTGCTCATCACTCACAAAGGGCCTGATGGAGGGCGGGTTCTGGGATCCGGCTCCCGGGGGAGCTCTGGGCACAGACAGCCTCACACGGACACATGGTGATCCCCACATGGGAGCTCCAGGCAAGCTGGGGGGAGGTGCCCACCCCAAAGCCTGGCTCAGGAGGGAGGGCCTAGCAGGTTCCCGCAAGTCTGAGGAAACAGAGGAGGCCCCCAAACCTGTCCTACTGGTTTCTCACTAGTACTTGGCCCACAGAGCCAGTGGGAGAAGGGGGAAGGGAGGGCTGAGTGTGTTTCTGTTCCTGGGGAAGCCATCAGTAGTGAGGGTCCGAGCCAGAGGCCGGCCACCTCACACGCCGGTGCCCAACACACACACACGCACACACACATGCACGTACACACACGCATGCACACACACACACACACGTGTGTGCACACTCAGGGCTACTGCATGAGCAGTGAGGAGTAAGGACTCCCCTCCCTGCTGCTTCCTTCCTGTTCCCTCCTTAATCCAGGGGGCAGCTGCTCTCACTGGGAGAAGTCCCAGCGTCCCAGGCAGCAGGGTCGGGGAGATGAACTGAGAGGGGCCAGAGCAGGAGGGAGTCCTGGGCAGGAGGGCTGACCTCCGACAGGTGACACCAGGAAGGCCCAGGACTCTCTCCAGCCCCCCTGCTGGTCTCTGCTCTCTGTTCTCATTGGCTCCGGGGGACCTTTCTCAGCCAATCTGGGTCCCCCCCCCACCGACTCAGGCGTGGTCCTTCTGTGCCCCTTGGGAGGCAGCCTTTCTTTGCCTTCCTCACACTCAGTGTGGGGGGACACGGACACCCCATGGGCTGATGTGGGGCCTATGTATGCTTCGTATGATGTGTCTTCCTCTGTATGCTTCGTACTTGGCCCCAGGGCTCAGCAGTGGGGCACCAAGCAAGTGACAGTCTCCTAGCCTCAGACTCATCCCTGATGGACACCTTCATCCCAACGTACAGGGAGCCCAGCGAGAGGTGTGGCCCCATGAGGAGACACCCTTGGATGTGAGGGTTTAGCTCCCTCCCACTGCTTCCAAAGAGCCGAACCGGGCTCTTGCAGAGGAAGAAGGGGACTTCATCCAGCTGGATTAGGTTCTCGTGATGCCTGCTGTGCTATCCCCCTTTCCCAGCCCTGAGTTCAACTCTCAGACACCCTGTGTTGGTCACTGGGGAGCAGCGGTCCCTGATGAGGCCGTGCAGTGGACCGGGCACTCACCTGCTGGGGCAGGAGGCCAGGTGTGGAGGAGGAGGGAGTCATTTCCACATGGATTCATGCTCTGAGAAGAGAACACACCCATCCGAGATGAAGCAGGGTCCAAAATGGCAGGCTGAGGGTGGGGAGGTACTCACCAGAGTTGCGGCTGCCTCCCCAGTTACTGGGTGGCCTTGGGCACAGGCCTGTCCCTCCCGAGACTCCTTCTGTCCATGGGGAGAGGGAGTGACAATCATTCTCCCCTTCCAGTCCCATGAGGACACTCACTAGATGCTCTTTCGAAATACGAGTCTCTGCTCGTTGTGGAATGACGTTGTCGGGGCTGATGTCCGAGAGCCGACTAATGTCTGGGCCTCGGACTGTTTGATGTGCTAAAACCTGCAGGCAGACGAGTCTAGTTTATCAGTCCCATCGAGAAAGGTGTAATAACAAAATTGAGACTGAGGTCCTCCTCTTCCTGAGTGTTGGTTCACATCAAACACAAACCAGTTTGTTCCTGGAGATGAGGTTTATCCTAGAATAATAATGCCTTCCGTTGATCAAAGCTGCTTTCATCTTTGATCTCGAGTGCCCAGATCATATATGGTGGGCACATTATCCTATTTTATAGATGAAGATATTAAGACCCAAGTTAAGTTTCCAAATCTGCCACGGAGCTAGAACCAAGAGCTTTCGTCTCCTGATAGCATCTGGAAAGTTCTTCCTTGTTTACGATGCATCCTCTGACACCAAGGGAAACTAACAAAATGTTAAGCATCTTGGACTTTTAATCACAGTCTTCCTAATAAGGTAAGAAGAAGATGTAAAATACAGATTTATATCTTCAATATCCTTAAGAGCAGGTCCTCTCTGTCAGGAGCCCCACCCGTCCCAGGTCACGTGCGAGGCAGGAGCGTCCCAGGGAGACCACGTTCTCCACCCGACACCGCTGGCGGTTTCACTGAGAACCGGATTGCTCAATGTTTACTGAGGTCTCCGTGCTGTTCCCGCACAGAGATGAAATAGCAATCCTCCGTCAAGACATCGTTGTAAAAGAAGTTAGACGGATAGAACATTGCCCTTTGTGTCTCTCTCTCCATCTGGGTCCCCTGGCTAGGGAGTGGGCTGGGGAGGCCGATGTGCCCCCCTGAGGGAGGTGTTTGTCTGGCTGTTCTCTAGGGAAAGACAGACTCTGTCTGTCTGAGGGGCTGAGCCAGAGAGAGCTGAAATTTATACAGCTCCTCGGGAGAGTGAAGGAGCCCATTCCATAGATAGAGGCACAGGTGGTTGGAAGTTCTGGGATGTGTAGGGACCAAGAGGAGATGTGCTTGAGAAAGACACCCCAGGGATTCCAGTGCCAACGTCCCCTCAGAGCCTCGGGTCTCACTTGCTAAGGACTTGGGAAGAATAGTCCCTGCGGGTTGAGCTCTTGGTCTACACTCTGCTTCTCAGAGCAGTGGGAAGAGATGGCTTCCTTCCAGAGATCGCAGAAGACTGGGGGCCACATGCTCCCCAGCAACCCCACAGCTCTCGGGCAGGGCCCCACACTCCTCCCCCATGTCCTCACGGGAAGCTTGACACTAGCGATGGAGCAGGATCAGAGGAATCACGGAGTCCGAGGAGAGAAGCTCCTTCCTCCGAAATCACACAAGAACAAGAAGCTCCTTCCTCCGAAATCACACATGGAACCTTGGTGTCGTACACAGCACCACCGGACGCTGTGTTCTGCGTGCGCCCAGGCCCCTCGCTTACTCGGAGATGCCAGCAGCAGTGGGCCACATCTTCCATCTATAGATCTGGAGGCCACCCTGGGCTGGAAATTTTAAGGATGCCCATGGGTCCACCCTGGTAGAATTCCAAGCAATTCTCCTATATCCGCCTCTACTGGCCTGCCCTGTGGGATGAGAGCCTGGCAGCAGCCCGAGAGGAGCACAGAAAGGATCACCAGACAGTCCCCCTCTACTCCAGGACCTGCTGTGGCCACCAAGGGAGGCTCTCTTTCCCTTCCCAGCCATGGTCTCTGTGAGAAGCTTCCAAGGGGGCACCTCGGCTCTTAGGGCCCAGGGAGGCTGGCAGGCTTCCGATGGCCCCCACGCAAGGTCACTCCAGTGTCTCCAGGGCGGGCCCTGCCACTCCAGTTCCTGCATTTCTGGTCTGTCACTGGTCTGACCCTCCCTGGGAGGAGGATTTCGCCCAAGGACATGGGGAGGGTGGAGAGCATTACCCCTCCCTTGCTCCAATTGCAGAAAAGGAGGGGGCTCCCATCCCACAGCAAGGCTGCCACGGGAGCTCTGCCCTCACACAGACTGGCTTGCCTGTCCCGGTCCCTGGTCCCCAGCTCGGACGTGAGCCCTTTGAGCCGGTCGGCAGCCAGGTTGGCAGCTCCGTGACAGGTGTGACTGACATGGCCGAGGAGTTGTCTGCGGAGCAGGTGGCTGAATTCAAAGCAGCTTTCTCCAGATTTGACAAGAATGGGGACGGCACCATCGACACCCAGGAGCTGGGTGCCGTGATGCGGGCCCTGGGCAAGAATCTGTCAGAAGCGGAGCTGAAGGAGTTCATCGCCCACGTGGACACGGATGGTGACGGCGTCATCAGCTTCCAGGAGTTCCTGGCAGAGATGGCCAAGAGGATGAAATCCTGGGGCAGCGAGCAGGACATACGGGAGGTCTTCCGTGCCTTCGACCTGGACGGCAACGGCCGCATCAGTGTGGATGAGCTCAAGCAGGCCATGGCCAAGCTGGGCCAGACGCTTTCCCAGGAGGAGCTGGACGGCATGATCCAGGAGGCGGACGTGAACAAGGACGGGCAGGTGGATTACGAGGAGTTCCTGCGCATCCTCTCCCAGAAGTGAGGCCCCGCCCGGGCCCGTCTCCTGCTCCTCCTGCCTTCTCGGGGTCTCCGCTTCTGTGGCTGGGACGTCAGGGGGCAGTCTGGGTGGTGGAGGGGAAATTACCTACTCTCTCTTGGGCCTGGGGTCTGCGCTCTGTGCCCGGCGAGACCTTAGAGCGGCTCCTGTAGAGAAGCGGGGAGCCCCCGCCGCACTAGGCTGTTGTGAGGAAACCCAAGGCAATGGCGGTTGAAATAAAAGGAGTGTGAGCTCTGAGGGCGGTGTGTGCTGGTGCTTGAGTGCTTTGTGGGAAGGTAGAAAATCGAAGCCTCCGGACGGTGGTATTTGGGTTTCTTCTGAGCCTCTGCCCCCTTCCCTAGGCCGTGGGGGAGAACCAGCCTGGGAGGGCCTGACGGTCCTCCCCCAGCGTCTCCCAGATGCCCGGGGAGGAGAACAGGTGTGGGAGGGGTGTGTCGGGCTGGGAGGGGACACGAGAGGCACGTTTCTTTGCCTTAAGGTTCTGCTTGAGCTTCCGGGTCCGGACTGGAGGCTGGAGCTGGAGCCTGGGACTGGGACACTGTCTACGCCACAGACAATAAAGTTAGCATCCTTTGCACATCGTTGTCCTCTGCTGCCCCAACCACGCTCGAACGGGGTTTGTGGCCCTGCAGTGCGGCTGCCCAGAATCAGGCCCCTTGGAGGCTGCTGGTCACAGTTTGCGAGGCTCCCTTCCTTGTCCTGGTTCTCAGGGGTGGCTCAACCCAAGGGCGATCTGCCCAGGAGGAAACCGAGGCCCAGGGTGGCATTGGGTTGAAGTCCTGGGGTTGTAGGGGAGGCAGACGAGCCCTAGGCCTCGGGATTCGGAAAGCACACAGGTTTTCCCCGCATCGTCTGCAACCCGTTGTGCGGCCCGGGTGCCGTGCGATGGCGGGCTTTGCTTCCTCCTTCGTGAAATGAGCTTTTCCTTTATTTTTGGCGATGACTGACTTTGCCTTATCCTAGCTGTGCCAAGTCAGTGGTTCTCAGCCCAGGGTGGGGAGACAGAGCCAGCTTCCCTGGGGGGGCGGGGGTATTGCAAAACACCGGCTCCCGCCCTTCCCGCCTGCCCCTCATTCCAGCGAGGGCGGGGTGAGTGGCAGAACCTGCCCAGTGCACCCCAGTGCAGCGGGGACAGGGACAGATCAGGGGGTGGTGGTGGGGGTGCTGCGGCTCGGATGACATCTTTCCGTTTTCTTTTCTCCCATTGGGCATCATCGTGGATCATTTCAGTCTCCTGTGACCCTCACATGCTTCTATCTCTTTCCTAGCCCTGTCCTCAGATCAAGTCCCCAGGTACGGCCAGACCCCCCATCCTGAAGCCCAGCAGGTGTCAGACACAGGACAACCCTGTGTCCAAACAGGGTTGAGGACTGGGAGAGCTGGTGGGCTGGGGAGGCTCTGAGGCAGGAAACCTCAGCTCCCCTAAGGTTCTGAGGGAGGCAGGGGACGGACCGGGGAGTAACATGACAGAGGTGTGGGATCTGGGGGAGCTTCGGACGTGACAATAAGAAGGGGCAAAGGCAGCCACCAGGCCCGGTGTGGTGAGGAAAGGAGTGGCAGAAATACCCCCGGGTCCAGGACAGGGGTGGTTCCCTCCAGAAAGTCCCTGTCCCCTTATGGACATAGGTCACTGATTTTCTAAATTAGTGAGTCCTAAATGCCAAGCTGGCCCAAGGTGAAGGTTTCCAGGCTCTGGGTGGAAACAGGAAAAAATAAAGACCTTTCCAACTAGCTTAAGTGTATGCTATGTTTAAAATTCTGAGAATATGCTCATTCTGTATTTTCTGTGTTAACTGTGTTTCCTTCCATGAAGCCACTATGATGGCCGGTGATGGTTCTGTGAGGTGTTTTTTTTTTTTTTTTCATGTTCTTACTCTGAAAAATGAAGAGTCCTTACAAAATGCCCCCAGTGAATGTGGGTATTTCACTGTCCCCGAGCCCCAAATGTCTGAGAACTGCTGCTGGAGGCGGTGGAGTGTAAAATTGATTTTCTTTCTTTAAAAAAAAAGATAACCCCCCCCAAACATGGGGCTCATGCATGGGAAGAGAAAACTCCCACAGTCAACAGCGGGCGCGTGTTCAGGACTGCTGTTTGCTCAGGACAGGGAGGAGAGGGCCCCGGGGGCCGTCCCCAACGCCTTCTGAGCTCAGTTTGATGCCTGCTTCGGTGTGGCTAGCTCGCCTGTTCTCTGTGTTTTCAGAAGTCTACAAAGAGCCCTGCTCAACATTATGCATGCGGCACTAGAAGGACTGGAACTGGTGGAGGGAAGGAGAGATGTGAAGCCCTTGGCGGCCCCTGGAGGCTAGGAGGTGGGGTGCCTGAGGTCGCTCCCTCACGAGCTGTTCCTGGGACGAGGGTGTGGGGCCAGAAGGCAGGAACAGAGCAGCAGGAGCGTCTCTCTGTCTCTTGCCCCCGAGGGCAAACGGGGAATCTGAGGGTCTGGGAAAGGAAGTGACTCACTTCAGGTCTCCACTGAGGGACAGATGTGTGTGGACCTCAAGGATTCAGAGACAGCCCCCTCCAGCAGTGCCTCCTTCCCCCTCTCCCCCCAGAGCTTCTTCCGTCCTGAGACCCTGGCAGCCCCGCCCCAAGGAGGAAGGACTCCTTGGGCATGGGGGGCTCTGCTGGAGAGGCCTGGTCGGGACCCATGGGAGTATCTTCTGGAAGGCCACGAGGCTGACGACCTTCTCGCTACACCCGGCCTCTAGGAGATGCACAGAAACAGCATCAGCAGCGACTTCCCATCTCCTGGAGGACCTTCGAGTGTGGAGTCCAAGTTTGGGAAGACGCCAGCCCCAATCTAGAGCACTGGGGAGGACGGGAAGGAGCTCGAGAGGCGTCCCCAGAGACAACGCAGCCTGGGGTGACTTCAGGGAGAGTCAGTTCCCTGGACATCAGTTTGCCAAGACTGGATTTGCCCCTGGCCTATTTGCTGGTATTTCCTAATTAAAAAAAAAAAAATTGTTTGTAAAAACACTTTATGAGGATTACAGGGATTCATATTAGATACGATGGTTTAAGACTCTGGAGTATTTCTGGGGCGTTTTCCTTGCCCGGTTGAGGGTTTGAGCTTCCTGGAGTTGTTGTGGTTTGGTCCATTACCTTTGGTCCATTACCAGGTTCACCTGAACCTCGCCCCAGCACCTGACAAAGATGGACGTTCTCTGTGTTCTGTTCTTGGTTTGCTCCTGTGTTCGTTTTCGTCCTTTGGGCCCATGACTCGGGGGGAGGAGAATAGCGTTTCTTCAAGATGGAGTAGCTGTGCGGGCCTCCGGCGGCCGGAGGCCACGGACCGGGGACCAGGCAGGTCTGTCTTCTCACAGGTTTTCAGTAGAGGCCACTGCTTTGGTTCACAGACACGGACCCGGTCAGACAGACACTTCGGTGTTTGGTTCTGGGCGGTATTCGGTAAAGGCTCAGCATCTGAAATAGTTTTCAGCTCCGGACCGGACACTTAGCGGAGCAGAACCCAGCTGAAAAGTCTGGGGGGAAAGAGTTCGGGGAAAGCAAAACTAGTCTGAGCTGAAGCAAAATCCTCCCCAGACCCTTCAAGACATTAACCAGGACGAGGGTTTTAGAGGAATTACTCTACTCCTGGTCAAAACAGCGATTTCAAATTCCACATACTGAATAATACATTTTCTCATTGAATCGCCCCCGGATTTTTGAAAATCCCAATTTACATCCATTCCCGACAGGCCTTTCTTTTCAGGTCCGTAGCAGATGCCTGCTCCTCCAAGAAGCCTTCGAGAACAGGCCCGGCCTGTGGCGAGTCCTACACAGACCCACCAGAGTGAAGGCTTGACTCTCCCCCTCCCCGAGGCGCATCTTGTGTTACAGCTTCTTGTGAATCAGGCCCAGGCTTCTTCCTCAGATCCCCAAATAATAATGCAAACTAGCCCACACTCGCACTGGGACCTGCCCTTGAACCCAGGATGTGCGGACCCAGGAGTGTGGCTGGTCAGTCACGAACCCTCCCCACGCCTGCCCTGGGTGCCGCGTGCCCCAGCGGGCTCCTTCCCCCACGAGGCCTCAACTCTACCCCTGAGAGAGGCCTCCCCGTGCCCGCTGGCTTGGATGGGGCCTCTGCTTTGTCTGCTCAACAGCACGAGAAAAGACCCGGAGTGACTGAGCAAGAGGCACCTCCCTGCCGTCGGTCCCCCACATCCAGGATATACATTTCTAAAAGTCCTGCATCGGCCAGGGTGCTCTGGGGACGCAGCTGAAGGGACGTGTAGAGGAGGGATGTAAGAGGAAATTTGTTACAGGAATTGGCTCATGTGATTATGGCGGCCGAGCGGTCCCCTGATCCATGGTGTCATTCAGCTGGAGTCTGAAAGCCCAAGATCCAGGCGGGCCCCTGTCCTGGCTCAAGAACGGGAGTGACCTCACCCTTCCTCCGCCATTCTGTTCTCTGTGGGCCCTGGATGGACTGTTGGTGCCCCTACCCTGGGGAAGGCCACCTCCCCCGCCGCCACACACACCCAGCCCTCTGGGGTCCTGTGGTCCAGCCAAGCTAACAGCAAGAACGAACCATCATAAGCTCACTCTTTCCTGGTGTAGAAACAGGGAGGGTCCGGGTGGCGTAGGTCACAGGACACACAGAGATGAGACGTCAGGCCATTGTACCAGCGCTCCTCACAGGGCACCGTCCCCTCTGCCACCCGGATACAGGGCCTGCAGGGCCCAGAGTCGCAGGAAAACATCTAGATAGGACACCTTGTCCCATTTTCTCATAAACTAGTCCAGGTTTTGAGTTTTAGGGTCCACAGTGTGGCTGCCAAGCCCCTGTCTTGCTGAACTGCTCAGTTACCCTCTAGAGGGAGCACAGCCCGCCTCTCCCAGCCACCGCCCCCCCCCCCAGGGGCGCCCCCGCCCCCCCCCCCCCTTGCCCCTGGTTTTCCTCCACGTGGGAAAGCACCCAGGCACCCTGTTCTGCAAGCGCCTTCTTGCTGATCTACAGTTTGCTATCCTCGGGCTCTCGTCTCCTGCTGCAGATGGCCTCACGCCCAAGGCACTGGCCCCCGCTGTGCGTCTCACCTCCCCCAGTCCAGCCTGTGCCTGCTGTCTTCTGTTTCTGTTTGCTTGTTTTTTAAAAAATTTAATTTATTTGACACACAGAGAGAGTGAGCACAACGAGGGAGAGTGGCAGACAGAGGGAGAGGGAGAAGCAGGCTCCCTGCTAGCAAGGAGCCTGAAATCATGAGCCGAGCTGAAGGCAG